ATTAGATTTCCGGGGAGAATGAAATGTCATTCCCCTGTTTAGTTGGCAAACATTCACAACTTCCGGTAATATTTTATTCCCAACAGTGGTATTTTGAAGGTATATTACTGAGAATGTGATTATCTTCCTTCCCTTAGGTATTGTTGGATTACCGGCTGTAGACACCCATTTTTTAATGGGCTTAAAAAATATTATATTTTTATTATAATAATTACTTATTATTATTATTATTATTATTTTATATAATATAATTATTTTGTGGGTCACCATTTCCATTTGCTTTTTCTCACCCACTCAAACACTACCCAACAACAATTATCTTCCACTATCTCCACCATTCCACTACCCCCACAACATCCATAACCTCAACTACCACCACACTCCCAATAACGCCATTTCCTCTTGGCTTTAAACAGATTCAAAGCTCTCCTTCTTCTCCTTCAAATTCTCCTCGGATGTCATTCAAGGGGGCAATAACAAAGTAAAAAAGAATTGAAGAGAGGAAGATAGAGAGAGAGGTGCATGACACTTAGCACCGTAGTCTTTGTTGGTGATTCAGAAACCCGGGTGAATTACCTGGTAGAACGTGCCAAAGGTCTTAAAGTTAATACTGGAATCGAACCTGACGAGGAACTTGGTCCAGTTATTGGCAAGGAGGCTAAAGAACGAATGTGCAGATTAGTTCAATCAGGAGTCGATAGTGAAACCAAACTACTGCTTGATGGGAGAAATATTGTGGAGGAAATCTTTGGCCCAGTTTTTATTTGCATGAAGGCTGACAGCTTGGACGACGCGATAAACATTGCTAATCGAAACAAATATGGTAATGGTGCTTCTATATTCACTAATTTCGGTGTTGTACCGAAGAAATCCAAACATAATGCCGTAAAAGAAGGTATAGTGAAATCTGCCTTGACAAAAAAAGATACGAAAAAGAAGATAAAGTAGAAGAAGTTGATTAAAGAAGCCTTGAAATCCAGTCCCGATGGAGTTTTGAAGATGCGGAAGCTGTAAAAACGAGTTCTAAAGGCTCGCCAGGAATCTGGATTCTCTTGCTTTCTCAATGCTGAACCAAACAAAAAACATTTTCACTGCCTTATTTACATATATCTTGCTGAGTAATAGGTTGTCAATTCAACAAATTGGGGCCCACGTGTTGACAGGCAATGTGCAAGGTAAGTTGCTTTGGGATTTTTAAGGATTAATTCTTGGTGTAATCACTCCATCTTTAGATATCATTTATTTTGGTCCTTTTTATTTTTCCCTTTTTCTATTTTTTTCCTTTTTTTAATATTTATTTATTGTTTATTGTACAATCTAACAATATTTTTGACTTCTTAGGGGAATTTTTAATCAATCAAAGGTAAGTAATTTAAATCGGGTTTTTAAATTTTAATTTTAATTTTTAATTTTCGTAATTAAGACAACCGATAAATTAATTGGTACCGATAAATTAATCCTTCCTTGACTGTAACCGACTCCTGAACCTGACACATTTATGGTAAAACGCGGACCATGTAAGATGGTGTCCGATCCACCTAAATGTTCTAAAGTGATCGGTGGCGACTCTAACCCATTCATTCAAGTCGAAGCCCAATTTCGGGTCCAACCGAAAGACGACAGCGACACTGGCATTTTGGTCTAAAATGCCCTTAATTTGTTTTTTTTTTAAATATCCTTATTCTGTCGTTGAATAAAAAAATTCTACGAAAGTTAAATTACAAATTTATCCTTAAACTATTTTAGATTTACAAAAAATCCATAATTAGAATTTTATATGAAGTTCAGGGGTTAAAATAAAATTTTACCCTATCATTAAACCTATTTATCATTTCAATTTTGTGAAAAATATATATAAATTTTATGAATTTAAAATTTTTAAAGAAAATATATAAATTAATTATAGTAACATTATTAAAAAAACAAATATATAATAAGGAGAATATGATAAAATATACATTCCAATAATCTTTTATTCCTTTAAACAAACACTGTAATCTTACATTCCTGCTAAACGAACCAAACACAAAATACAACATTCTCAGTAATCTTATTCCTACTGGTAATCCTATTCACATTGATAATCTTACATTCTGTGAACCAAATACACTCTTACGTTTTCTCATAAAGTACACACTCTGAATAGCTTTGGGTCCCCTGTTTCAACTATGGTAAAATTGGCCTAATAGGCCAGACAAGTAAAAAAATTGATCAATTATATCATCTTCAAAATTAATTTGGGATTTACAATATTTGTTATAGTTATTTGAAATTTATCATATCAACATGATGAATTTTAATAAAATTATTTTTTTATTAAAATTTTTCATATATTCTAATAAAAACTATATTTTATTAAAACTCATTACATTGACGTGATAAATTTGAATAAAAAATATTATTTGAGCAAACTCATCATGTGAGCGTGACGAGCTTACCATATACTGTAACATTTACCGTAAATCCTAAAATAAAATCCGAATTTGTCTAATGGACTAATTTTTTACCCGCTTGCCTATCCCTATTGAGCTGGTTGCTGGTGAGGAGAATGTATTTGCGGTTATATATATATATTGAAATGGAAGTATAATCCAATAGTAATTTATTTTTTATTATTAAAACTGAAACATAAGATTTGTTTGTTTTACGGAAAATAGATTTTGAAAAATGAATTTTGTATAAATTACATTTCCTGTAAAACATTTTATGGAAATAATTTTACGATATTTGGATGATGTTGTGTAATTCATTCTCCACTAATTGGTAAATTTTTTAAAAATTCTTTATTATAAACATCAAATACAATGAATATAGTATTTATTAACAAAATAACAATATAATTTTTAAAGTATTAGAATAATTCATTTAATAGTATTATTAAAATATTATATCTATAATTTTATAAATAAAAATATTATGATTATTATAGTTTATTAAAATAAAATTATTATAAATTATATTAATTATTTATTAAAATGAGAATAATTTATTATTAATTATATTACTTATTTATTAAAATAATATTATTATTAAAATTTTAAAAATTAGAATATTAAAATAAGAATATTTATTATATTTTAAAGAGTATATATCAAATATTCAACAATTCAATAATATTATTTTTATGAAATTAAAAATAATATTAATTTTATTAATAAATTATTATATATTATTAAAATAATAGTATAATATTATATATTATAATAATATAATTATAACAATAAAATATAATACTATATTATTAAAAATATAAATAAATCTATTTAAAATTAATTTTTTTATAATTAATATATTACTTTAATAATTAATATTTTTATTAAAATGATATTAAAATAATAAATTAGTATTATATATATAAAATAATAATGATTTGAGTGTTTATGCTTTAGAGTGGAAATTTCATAAAATAACTTATGGAAAATCAGGCTGTAAATCATTTTTCAGAAAATGCAAATAAAATTCAATTGACCAAGAAAATGAATTATATTGATCATCTGTTTTCTGCAAACCTAACACTGAAAAATGAAGAAAATATTTTTCGAAAAACCAATCATAGGTAAGCAAAACGACCCATAGATGATCAATTTATATGTACTGATTAAATTGGCGATTGTGAATTATACAATCAGCGTAAACATGATTCAGAGATTCGGAAGTGAAAATATAAAAACGGTAATAGGGGGTGCATAATGAGTTGAACAACTTGAACTCGATCCGGTCAAAGTATGGTAAAAATTTGATTTGGGTTGATTCGACTCGAACTCGACGAGTTGAATCGAGCAAAGTCCAACTTGACTCGATAAGTTCACAAGCAACTCGCTAATAATTTTTAGCATTTATCTTAAAAATTTATTTCATACACTCAAAAATCAGACCTTATTTATTATTTTAATGTATTTGTGGATTGTTACTTTGGAGTTTAGACTTTAAAATTACTTCATAAACTATTTTGATAATTTTTTGGTTAAATTTATCAACTTATGTTTATATTAAGTTCTATATAGTATTTCTAGATGTTACCTGTAGTTAAGAAAATAACGTAAAAATTCAACGAGCTTAACGAACAACAAGGCAAGCAATGAGCATCGAGCTTAAGGAGAAACGGGCTTAGCGAGCAACGAGTCAAGTTGAACAACTAAATTTTTTAATGAGTACGAATCGAGCACTGCCCAACCCGCGATCGACTCGCCACACATTTGGAAATTAAGCATTCCCCACACTGAACAGGAGCTTCATTTTATAAATTATAATTTCATACACACACACAACGTAGTAGCACAAACATCAATATTGTTGGTACTGAGAATATGATCAACACTAGACAAAGCAAAATTTAGCCACCAACTCCTTTATGTGTGTTTAATTCATATGCATGTACGTCACAAGAAATTCCATAAATGTAATATCCCATGTAGGCGGCGTATGATTAGTTTTGACGTTATTACAGAAAGTGAAAATATCAGCTGAAGAGAAGGGATATTATGAAGGCAGTTTTTCTTCTCCTCTTTCCTGTTTTCCAAAATTTTCAATTACATGGGAAGTATTTTAAGGTTTGAGAAAGTTTCTTGGGGCAAAAAAATTATATGATTCAAGAGAAATTTCAGTGATTGCGATTTATTACTAGTTTTCTGAACAACCCAATTACCTGAATGATCAAAATCTGGCTAGAGATTGATTATCTAATGTTAAGAAAACTTCACCTAGGAGGGAAACATGATCCAAAAATGAACAATTGTGATACCATCCAGCCTAAACTAAAGAAATCAAAAACAGAAATTGGGGCTTTATGGCATCAACAGTGTAATATAATATTCCTTCTACCAAGATGTTAACTGCAGGTACCGGATCAAGAATGCCGACAAAAAATTGACTGCATTATGATGGCACCAACATCTTACACATGTTGCATTGATAACATCTTCAATATGACCAATAAATTCGAAAAATGCTGTTTGATAATTGGTAACAACCATAAGAAACAGATTAAGATGCAACATGATTCAAGCTCTTTTTTTGCTTGGAGGTGAACGGTTGATGAGATTGTTCTTCACTGTTTTAAGCTTGCGAAGGGCGTCTCTCATGGTGATCCGTCCATTAGGGGAAACTGAGGTGCAAGACAGTCCAACTCCGATGATTGTTGTTAAGCAATTATGGTCTGTGTTTTTCAGTTGATTATCGTTCTGCAAATCTTGCAACAATAATAGGAGTTCAGGATCGAGAATTTGGTTAACATTGCAAGGGAAAGCCGATTGTGTCCATTTAGTTAGACTTAGTTCTCCGACAAAGCTTTCGTGGGTTGGACTCTTCCCTGTAAATAACTGCAGCAACATCACTCCAAAGCTATAGACATCCCCGGCTGTTGATGGCTTCCCTCCAACCCCATACTCTGCATCACACATCAGATTCATTAGTTGAATCTTATAGTCTGTCAATAGCATTTTGGGCATTGATGGTACTACTAACCTGGAGGTATGTATCCTATAGAACCCTTTAGGGCATTGGTGGAGCTAATGGAAGGTTGATCGCTTGATTTTTCCATCAGCATCCTCGCCAACCCGAAATCGCCGACCTTGGCAGTCATGTCTTGGTCCAAAAGAATGTTGCTGGGCTTCAAATCACAGTGCACCACGGCCACTGCACAGTCGTGGTGCAGATAATCAATTGCCGAAGCCACGTCAATGGCCACATTCAATCTTTCCATAACATTTAACCCACGTCCAACTGCATTCCTTTTGTTCCCCTTAAGCCAGTCTTCGACGCTTCCATTGGCAAGGTATTCGTACACCAATGCCAGGAATTCCACGTTTTTGTTGTCCACACCCGAGCATGACGTGATTAGCTTGACCATATTGCGGTGCCTCACGTTTCTTAGAGCTTCACATTCGGCTCGAAAGCTCTTCCAGGATCCAGTCCGCCCAATATCTAGGACCTTGATTGCCACAAAGACTCCATTAAGATAAGCTTTATAAACCGAACCAAAGCTCCCATCGCCAATCAAATTTCCAGGGTTGAAATTCTGAGTTGCATTGCGGATCTCGTGGTATGAGATCAACTGGTGTTGCTCCTTCATCTGTTCAGAAGTTTCAGTTATCATGTGCTTGCCCTTTTTTATATAGAACAACGAGGCTACAATGGAACACAAAGCAAATGTTGCAATCACAGCTACACTAACAAAAACTTTGACTAATGTTCCATGGCGGCCACGCGTGTTCTTACAAGTCAAGGGCGAGCAAAGCTTTCTGTTACCCTCCAAATCGACGCTAGAAAGATTCTTGAAAATCCCACCGCTTGGTAGGGCTCCTTCCAAGTCATTGAAAGAGAGATTCAACAATTGAAGGATTTGTAGCTTTTGAAGATCTGCAGGAATGGAGCCTGAAAGTTGGTTTGATGAGAGATCCAACACTTCCAGTGCTTTCACTTCCCCAATCTCTCCTGGAATTGGGCCTGACAGCTTATTCTCGGCCATGTATAATTTCTCCAAGCTCATGCAATCTTTAATCGAACTGGGAATATTACCAGACAAATGGTTCATAGACAGGTCAATTGCAACAACACTTTTTAGAAGTCCGATCTCTTCAGGAATTGGTCCATTAAGAGAATTCTTGGACAGGTTCAACACAGTGCTCAAGCTTGGGATATTGAGAATTTCTTTGGGGATGCTTCCGTTGAGCCTGTTGTGGGACAAATCCATGGAGAGCAATTTCTGGAAGTTTTGAAAACTAGAAGGTATTTGACCCACCAGTTGATTTCCAGACAAATCGATTTGGTTTAATTGTTGAAGATCACCAAGATTTCTTGGAATCCGACCAGATATCTGATTTCTGGCCAAATTCAATACTTGGAGTTCCACCAGTTTACCGATCTCGGGCGGTATTTCGCCGGAGATGGAATTGTAACTCAAATCAAGCAAAGTCAAGCCACTAAGTTGGGAAATTGATGATGGTATGTTGCCAGAAATACGACTTTCTCCAATGTACAGTTTCCCGAGCACCTTGGAAAGATTACCGACGGATTCTGGAATTTCACCGCCCAAAGGATTACCATCTAAAGCAAGAAACTTTAGATGAGAGCTGTTGGTCAAAGAAGTGATGATGTACTCAAGACCTGTGCTAACAATCTTGTTGTACCTAATGTTATACGTTTCTAGAAATGGAAGATTTCCCAAACCCGGTGGCTCTGTTCCTTCGAGAAGATTGTGTGCCATGCGAATGACTTTTATATTGGTAAGATTGTGCAAAGAGCCTGGAATTCCTCCGGTGAACTTATTGAAGCAAAAGCAGAAGACCAAAAGATTAGGAAGTGTAACCCCAACGTTGTAGGGAAGTCTGCCCCAAAGATCGTTGGAAGCTAAGGCCAAAACAACCAGGGAAGACATGTTGTAGATGGAAGAAGGAACAGTCCCCATTAGGTAATTAATGGTCAGGTCAAGCACCTTTAGTTTTCGAAGACGACTCAACTCGGTGGGAATGGTTCCTGTAAGAGTGTTGGTTCCCAAATTCAGAGTATCGAGTGATGAAATATTTGCTATAGAAGCTGGAATTGCACCTGTGAAAAGGTTTCGTCCCAAGTTTAGAACTTGAAGATTGACAAGCCGGTCAAGATCTTTAGGAATACCTCCGGTAATCCTATTTGACATCAAATCAAGAGCTCTAAGCTCAGTCAATTTGGTTATATTCGATGGAATCACACCATTTAAACTGTTTTGGCTCAAATTTAGATTTCTCAAGCGAAAAAGATTCTCCATTTGATCAGGCAGTGCACCCGAGAGTTTATTCTCTTGAAGTTGAAGAGAACGAAGGAAGGACAGGTTCCCAATGTGGGGGCTTATGGAACCTTCAAGATGAAATCCGGAAAGGTTGAGCGCAATCACTCTGGTGCTGCGTCTGTTGCAGACAACTCCAGTCCAGTTACATGGAGATAAGTTTAGCTCCCATTGTGAAAGCGGATTCAGGGGGGCCGAAGTTCTTATTTGCGACTTGAATGAGAGTAAAGCTTCCTTGTCTGTAACAAGCCTTGAAATTTCTGATTCAATGGAAAGCAATAAGCATGTGAAATATAAAATGAAGTGTAAAAATACGAATTGCAGCCGGGAAGAAGACGAGGACATGTTTCTTCCAAAGTAGTTTGCTTATTCAAGCACCAAAAGACGACGAGACTCAAAATACATCAATGTTTGGCATTTATATAACTCTAATGATAATTATTGTACCTCCATTCAGAAAAATTATTATACATCAATGTTTCCTCCATTCATACCTTTTTGAAAAATATTAAATTTTCGTTAATAAAGACTAAGAATATCTTATCTTTGAACGAAGTCTCCGAATTTTTTTTTACATGTCATATCATTTTCGAAACCACTTAATGCAAAAATCACTCTATGAAGTCTAGACTTCTCTTAATGTAAATGTCGCAATCATCCTTCAGGTGATCCATGATCAAAGTTCGATTTAAAATGAATTTTATCTTTTTGAATTAAATAAGTTCGGATACATAAATTGTACCTCTTACCAGATTAACAACTTATCAGAGATTCACTTAGAAGGGTTCGGGAGTCAATTACTTATGAGGAAGGATGTACACCCTTACATCGCCCTTTTATACCAACAATATTTAGGAGTTGTTTTAATAAAGAAAATTAAAGTTTAAACCAAAATTTAAGGAAAATATTCAAATTATTTGCCTTTAAGCTCTGTTCTTTTAAAATATAATAAATTAGGATTGTAAACAAATAAGAAAATGAACGATTTAGGTCTAATCTGCAAAAGTGAAGCAAAAATATTACGGGTCGTAAAATAAAAATAAAAAACAAATAATATACAATATGAATAAAGAGTTAAATAAAAATTAATGTTCAACTTTAAAAACATAAATGAAATAAACAAATAATTAAAAGAATGAATATAAGTTGTGAATTTAAAAGATATGAAAATTAAATACAAAGAAAATATAGATACTAAAAATACCAAAATTAATAAAATAAAATAGTAAACATATAAATTTAAAAAATAAAAAATATATAATATATATGAAAATGTGAAAAATAAATAATGATAACTAAAAGGTGAAAAGTTACCCATGAAATTAATATATATATATATATATATATATATATATATATATATTAATATGTAAATATTATATATATATATATATATAATGGATACGTGTTTGTATATATATATATCATAAGAAAAAACTAAAAGAGATAAGAATTAGAAGAAGAATAACTATTATCCATACAAAGTTAAAACAAAATAAATTTATGAGATTTGATGTAACAATTAATCCAAGTAACTGAATAAGACACATCCAAAATAAGAACTAAATAGCAAAAACTCGAACAAAGAAAGAATTCTCTTAATGGAATTTTGGAAAAACTAAAATTTTTATTGCTTTTCACCTCTCCTTATTTTTTCTCTCCTTTTTTTTGTATGTGTGCGTTTCTTCCCCTTATTTATAAAAATTAGAGTGTCTATTTATAGGCTCTAAAAACCTTAAAAGAAAAAAAAAGTCTTACCATCTTTTCATTAATGCTAGATACACTAATTGAGAAATGTAATATTAAAATAATAAAAATATCCTAAATTCTCATAAATAAATATTGGAAAGTATTAAGCTAAATTTAATTATAAATATTCCATAAAATAATTGAAAATTTGTAATAAATTAAAATTCTCATATTGGACCTATATCCAATTTTCTACATGCACCATCTTCGCTAAAATAAGCATATCTTAAATTCCTGATATCCGATTGAGACGTTTCAAAATACGTTGGAAAGTTAACTGAAAGCGTTTATCTCAAGAATACATCATGCCTTGGAAACATTTGGATCTTGTTTGAAAATTTGTTGTAAGTCAACTGATGTATTGGACTTCAAAATTTGCTTCAATAAAAATGTTTGAGTTTTGTAAATGGTAGGCTGGACGAAAATTATATATTATAGCTTCCCCTCTTTGCCTATTGTCGGCAACGAGAATAGAGCAAAGACGAAAATACACAAATTTTTGTTCAGTTTCAACTCAAACATATAAAATCTTAATAATATTTTTCTAGAGATGGACTTTGAAAACAATCATGTTCCTTGATGCCAAGGCATGTTCATTTCTTAGCCCATAATCAAGTTTGAAAATGATATTTCTCCTTTATAATGGGGATGCCAAGTTGTCGTCTATATTTGATATGCTCATTTCTCTAAAAAAATCCAAATCAAAGAACAACTTGCTCCTTTCTCTAAAAGACGCCAAGTCGTAATCAATGGTTAATTTGATTCTTTCTATAAAGGACGCCAAATCGAAGAACGATATTCCTCCTTTCTCTGAAGGGTACCAAATCAAGGAACGATCTCCCTTCTTTCTTTGAAAGACTACAAGTCATAATTAATGATTGATATGCTCATTTTTCTAAAGGATGCCAAATTGGAGAATGATCTTGCTCAATTCTCTAAAGGATGCCTAGTCGTAATCAATGGGTAATCTACTCCTTCCTCTAAAGGATGTCAAATCAAGGAATAATCTTACTCTTTTATTTGAAGGACTCTAAGTCATGATTAACTCTTTTTTTCTGAACATATCTAATCCAAGAACGATATTGCTCTTTCGCTTTCGAGGGCGCTAAGTCATAGTCATATGCTTGATTTAATTTGAAACGATATTACTCCTTTACTTTGGAGGATGCCAAACCGTGCTCAATTGATCTGGTCTAGCTGAATCTGCTTCTTCAAATCTGAAGATGATCTTGCTCTTTTGGACTTTAGTATGCCAAGTAATAATTAGTGTTTGATGTTCTATTTCACCTGAAGGATGTCAAATCGAAGAATGATCTTGCTCTTTCCTTTGAAGGATACTAAGTTGTAATCAATGAGTTGATTTTCTCATCCTTTAAAGGATGTCAAATCAAAGAACTATCTTGCTCATACTAAAAGAGGCCAAGTTGTAATTATTAGTTGATTTTCTCATTCCCCAAAAGAAAGCCAAGTTAGAAGACGATCTTACTCCCCTAAAGGACACTAAGTCGTAATCTTCTATTGATTTTATCATTCCTCGAAAAGATGTCAAATCGAGAGATGATTTTACTCCTTATAAAGGACACTAAGGGGTTGTTTGTTTACTGTTGAATGGAACCATTCAGCGCTGAATGTTGAACCATTCAGTATTCAGCGTGTTTGATTCTCACCTCTGAATGAAGATTGTGCTGAATGATTCATCATTAAAGTACATTCTGAATGATTCATAACCATTATCAAACAACATGTCACATTCAGAGCTAATTCACACAGAGCCTTTAAATCATTCAGGTCATTGAATCATTCAGCACTTAATCATTCTGATTTAATCAAACAGCCCCTAAGTCTTTCTCTTCTATTGATTTACTCATTCCTTTGAAGGATGTTAAATTAGGAGACGATCTTTGTAACACCCCCAACCCGTATCCGACCAGGATCCGAGTTCGAGGTGTCACATCAACTTTTAAAACCTTTACTTGTTCAAAATAATGAAAATTTCCCGTTAAAGAAAACTTCATATTATTTCAAAATAAAAGTTTAAAAACTTATCAGAGCATATACAATTCAAATCGTTTATATTTCATGCCAACAATATTTAAAAGAACAAAATACATATTAAGCATTACTTTTCTGATCTGAACTTTGTATGGAAGATGCTGACCTGTCTTGCTCTTCTTAGCTTCTCTTTTCACTTTCCGTAACTTGCGTGTGAAACACTCACACGCTAAGTCGATGACTTAGTGAGGCATATAAAATATCTAATGTAAACTCTAACTTTTAATAATGCATGAATAACCAATGCTATCATAACATACAAAAGCATATATTCTTTCTTGTAACATATACATATATGCACATATATTACCATCTATATTCTTATTACTTTCATATAAGTTATCATTAATCCTTTTTTATTTATCATCCTATCTTTCACATTCATACACATCATATCATAAAATATCACCAAACAAATACATAACATAACATAACATTTACTATGTTATATCTTTTTAAATAACAATTGTACACATGTGAAAACTAAAGATATGTGAGTACTATGAGGTTGTGCACACATATGCTGTCACCACAGCTCGTATAAAATCCACTAAATGGCATATGAAATTTGTGTCTCGAAGGACCTATCCATATGTTCTGAAGAACATAGGTAACTGTCCAATGTCCCGAATGACATAGGTAATCCTGTCATATGTCCCGAAGGACATAGGTAACCCTCGACTCTTGGCATCCCAACTATACCTCTAGCTCTCAAGACACATAACATGGGCATTATCTTTTATCATTTCACATATTCACATACACACGTAGATCACTTGCACGTAGAACATTTTCATATAAATCACATATCACATGGCTTATAACTTGTTCTTATATCTTCTCATAACATATGCTCTTATAACTTCTTGTTATATCTTTCTCATCACTTACTTTCACCTAGCTCATAGTCCGTGGCTTATCTTATATATATATATTCACATACTTTATAATTACATAGTTTACTCCATTTCCATACCTAAATCATATAATACATAAGTCTTCCTCATAAAGTTATACTATATGTTCATATATATTTATATCAATTAATCCTTTAGCTTATAGTCTATGTCACATGTTCATTTCACTCCTTATGTCTTTATCACATAGCTTATTTCATATTCTTATATGATCATATAGATCATTTGTACTGTTTCACATGACTTATCACACTAACATATACTTATACAAATCATGTAACATACATAGTAACATGTTATCGCATATACTCATGCACAAGTATAAATCATAACAACACATACTTTTATCTATGAATTCATGCATTTTACTATTGGAAATAGACTTATCGCAAGTCTTATTTCCCATTAAACATCATATACTAAATAATGTGCACTCACATTGCCTCACTAACCAATACCAAATCCTTATCTCTTCTTGATGGCTATTACTTAACACCTTGTCCGGACATTGCTCTCAATTGATATCTACACAATTACACGTATAATATACATATTAACATTCCACTTGGCATACTCTAATATTTCATTTCTTAAACTAAAAGAAAGATTTATTTCCATTTTCCCTTTGAAGTGTATCGGTACACACTATAAGGTATCGG